TGGGGGGGGGGGGGCACACATTGGAAAATTAATCACGTGTGCTAAATAGTTGCGGGAAAGGTGACCGTTTGACTTGGAAAAATCCTGAGAGTTTCAAAGTAGAACGCTGTTGTATAATTTTATTATGAGCAAAATTACCGTATTTACTTTAAAGGAAGCCCTTTACGTGCACTTTGAGCTGAATTATCTCGATTCCTTCGTAAAATATCGCGAATCCGTTTACCTGTTAATTATTTTTCATATTATTGCCAATATTTTATCAGTTGACCGTTTTTTGATAACTCTCACAAGGCAGTGTTTTCAGAAAATCTTTGAGAATTTTCTGAGATTTTGGTACTTTTAAACATACTGATTACAGTGCCGTTTTTATTTTTGCTTCTTCCTCCTTACAATAAAGTTATGGGCTGTTAAAGAAACAATTTTAAATGAGCGAAATTGTCAGATAAACCACGCTAACTGAGCTCAAAGATCTTGTTTGAGGTGGGCATCTCATAGAGACACTGCAGCTTTTCAATTTTTGTAGGATTTATCTAAAATTTTCTCGACGAAACAATTGATTCTTCAAGAAACGGAATAAACTCAAACGGCTTTCTATCAGAGAATGCAAGATAGTAAAGAAATTCAAGTTGCAGTGAGGACTCGTTACAGTTTTTAAAAATTATTCAAATGCATTTGATTTTTTAGAATGAAACTCGAGGAAAACTCTTTTCCAAAATAACACAAAATATTCCAAACTGCTGAAATGAAAAAGTGCAATGGTCTTTGCCAGAGAAAAATTTCAAGCCATAAATAAAACTGTTATTTGGTAGTTGCTAATCTTGCGCGCAAAAATATGTGATTCACACTGCCACTGGGTGTCTCGAATTCTCTGCAAACACATTGTTGATGTGCATTTGAGTTCTTTTCTTTTTTGTTTCCCAGAAAGCCCCTCTGGGAAACACCGACTCGTCTCGATGAACCGAATTGTCAGTAGTGAGCACACAACGATTCATAACCATATACATTGGGCCACTAGTGTCAATCACAGACTGCCTGCCAGCCAATAAATTCTTTTTCTGGCTCGCCATGACTTTTTTCGTTCGGTGGTGCTTTCTTCTACTATAGAAAAACAGCTTCTTATTCAGTTTCAACAACTTTTATCCTTGCGATGAGAAATGAAAAAAAGGAAAATGATAAAATTACTATTCTAAGAAAGGAAAGAAATGTTTGGGCTGGGGGATTGGTCAGATATGACAGGCATGAGGATGAGGGATAGTTGTGAAAAATAAAACGGTGATTTGGAAAAATTCTAGGCATTCTGAATATCAGACATTCGATAAAATGCAGAAAAAGGATTGTACACAGAATTGATGTCATTTTGTGAAAGTCTAGAAGGGAAATGGAAACACGGAGAAAAATACTAACAAAAAATTTCCTAATAGAGTGGATACTTGAAGAATACAGATAGATAGGACAGTATGTATATGGGGTGTGAATATAGAAAATAAATGGGGTAATTAGGAACTGGGATCGATAAGAAAAGTTTAAGTGAGTTGCAGGATCACTAGTAGAACACAATATATATATAGGTTCGAGAACACTGGGAGAAAATACTTGGAGACATAAAGAGAGTTTTTTGAGAGAGCAGTTGAGAATCAGTGAGGAAAGAAGCAGAATCGTTAGTTGTATTCCCTGTTATGTGGCGAAAAAGTGACATATTGGAAAGAAACAAAAGAGGTAAAAAATGAAAAAATAAAGAAATGAAATGAGTCAAAGAGGAGAGATGACGGGGTTCTGGAAAGAATCAGGGCGTTTCTAGACTGGCAACTAACAACTGAAAGAGCAATGGGTATTTGGCAACATGGCGATGTGGAGGAATTCAGGCGGAAGTCGTTGCCTGGGTACTATGATCAGCGAAGATGACATGAGTAGTGAACATGTACTTCTCTCCGCATTGAGTTCCGCACAGAGCACATTTGAATGGATCTCCCTCGGTGTGAAGGCTCTTGTGGAGCAAGTACATAGTGTTGTCGAAGAAGATCATTCCACAGTGATTGCATTCCTGAAATTTTTTTATATGTTTGTTGTTGCCCCAATTCTGAGAATAAAGTTGTTTTTAGAACTTTTGGGATGTCATCCATCAAGATCAATTAAGTATCGAACTTGTGACATGAACACTAATTGCCGACAGGAACAAAAAACCGTTATCAAACTATACTTCGGAGTGTAATGTTCGTCTCTATCTTCAATTTTTTTTCTAGGTTAGGAACGGTTCTATATATTTGCAACATTCTTGACTTTGACATCCGATCAGTTTGATTCATGACTTTCAAACTTGTGCCCAGATAAAATTCTCAGTTTTGATTAGGAAATCGAAAATCCCCAAGAAAAAAAAAGAGTCATGAGGGAAAACAGAATTTCGTAAAATTTTCCTTCGGAATTATATACTACGTTGCACATAAAAGTTGTCCTTTTCAAGACTCTCACACACTTACCACATTTTCCTCCTCGTCTTTCTCTGGAGTTGGAGACTGCTCCTTATCCATAGAAGAGATAGTAGAGTCGTTGGCAGGTGGAGAGTGCGACTGGTCACTTGGGCTTGGAACGCTCACACTAACGGAGCTCGATGTTTGCTCGGACCATAGTTGGACCTGTTCCTGTTCCTGTTTCACTGCGGCTGGGATGTTACCAAGCTGAAAAACTCTTTGTTGTCCGATTGCTAGTCTCAAAATGTAATTATTTACCGGAAGTTGGACGGATGGGATGTTAATCAATCGTGGGATGTTTTCTCCGAACCCTCCAAACTGATTCATCTGGTTGAGGCACATCAACAAGATGTCTGGGTTGGCCATCGGGAAAGGTGATGGAGGCTGAAATGTGTAATAGTGACTAACTGATCAGAAACTATTTTTTACTAAAAGGTTCTTTGGAAAAAAATTCTGAATGACTCACAATTTTATCAAACTCGGATGAGGTCGAGTTTTCTGAGGATTCTGTGTTTGGTGGGCTGAATTCGGTCTTCACCATTCTTTGCAATTGCTCCGAGATGCTGATGCTCTCTGGATCTGCTTCTGGTGACGCGTGTCCATTTGATAACTTCTTCCGCTTAGCGTTTTCTTTTTTCGGAGAACCCTGAAAAGTTCGTTTTCAAGATGTCATCTAATTTCACGGAAAAGCACGCGTTGTCTCACGGGGCAACCAGCTCCGAGAAATATGAAAAACATCATCTAATAATGTTCTGCTCCGATCTCTTTCGCCTAATAACATGTTACAATGAACGCCTTGTCTGGAATTATAGTAGTTACCTCATTCTCGTCATGTCTCGTCTGGAAATGAAGGAGTAGCCGTCTGGAATTGGCGAACATCAAATTACAGCGTTTGCATGACGCAGGATTCGTCGCTGATATCGTGTGTGTCTCCTCTAAGTGTGCTCGAAGTGCATTGTGCTGACTGAACTGCATTACACATAATGAAACTGGACATTCGAAACCGAAACCCGTTTTGATATGAGTCATCGAGTGCTCTTGCATCTGAAAATTATAAACAAAACATATATGTTTCACATAAGCTAACTGTGTAAGCCTTCTTTGTCTTGCGCCTAATTGTTCCCGCTCCGGTTTTTATTTTGTGTATTGTCTTAAAAATCGGTTTTCGCTTTCGATCACATTACAACTTTCCGACCTTTCTCTAATTGTTTTATGGCTTGCGAGTGTGTGATGGCTTTCAACTTTTCTCGGAACCAAATCAAAACGTTACCCAACCTAGCTGGTTTTGTCCCTTCTCATCATCTTCTCTTTTTCTTCTCTGATTGGGCCTGGGGGTGAGGAATGTAGAAAAAAGGGTTCTAGAGAAGAAGAAGAAGATGCTAGAAGGTGGATCTTCCTTAAAAGAGCAATGCGCGTGCCATCGTCAAGGTCTTTTACTAGATCATACCGTGTCGGAAGGCATGGAATCGGGAAGCAATATGCCTCTGTATAACCTGCGTCAAATTGGTTCTCATGTTTTCTGGAGGGGCTTACTCGACCTTCAAGAACGGTTCCGAGTAAACAGATATCATCAAGAAAAGAAGCGCGCCGCGTCTTCCAATTTCTTTTTCTTTTTTCTCAGGACGCCACCCCCGTCGTCGGTCTTCCTTTCTTTCCGGGAAAGCGAAAATCCAAATTGAAAACGACCTTCGGCGCGGGAAAAAGAAAGAGAGAGGGGGTGCCTTCTGATTTTCGCTTTCCTAGATCAGTTTCACTTTCGATTTGATTGCGTAAATTGGAAGATAAAACACGATTTTTGAGTTGCGGAAGACATCGGCAGCTTCTCTTGCGCAACACACTTGCCGCGCGCCGCTAAATAGGGTGGCCTAGGAAGTCGACTGGCAATAAAAATCAAAAAGAAACGCCAGACAGTGGGACATACCTGATCTTTCCTGAAAAATCGCTTCTTGCAAAAACGACACTCATAAGGCTTGACACCGCTATGTCGCATCCGATGACGATGCATGTTAGCCTGAAAACGAAACATCAATAAACCAATGATAGAAAGTGAAAATGAGGAGGGAATGAAAACATAGAAGATCAATCAGCAACTGTATCCGTTATCGAAGACTACAGTATCCCATAAGTCTACTTGATTGGTATCTATGGATACCGTAATCTCCATTAAGTCGTATTTTCTCTGTTGTTCTCTCCAAATGCTCACCTTCTGACTGAACTGCATTTTACAGATATCGCACTGGTACATTTGGCCTTGGTGTCGTTCATGCGCTTCCTGAAATGTTCAAGAATCTTTACTGGTGTATTGGGTCATGTGATATTTCTAGGGTCATCACGTTTTTTGTACTGCCCCCGTATCTGGTCTTCCCGTTTTCCCAAAAAACGCCTATTTTTCCTATTCCCCATTTTCTTCTTCTATACCCGTCTGCTATCCCATCCTATCTACCAAACCCTTCTTGATGTCACTTTCCGAAAATACTCGGACCCGTTCGCAGCAGTGTGCTGGTCGCCTTTAACCAATTAGGATGACACCGGCTCTCATGAAAGGAAACATCCTTAAGAGGAAAAACCAATATGCGCGGTCCCTCTCCCCCATACCACTCTTATCCCTTACTTGACTATTCCCGATGACCGTTTGGGAAGTGAAAAAAAAAACAGTATGGAATAGGTGAGATGCGCAGTACATACTGGTCGAAGGTAAACAGTAGTTAGTGAGAAAAGCGGCAAGGAGCCGAGGATGGTGATAGGAGAATGGTAAAGGTAGTGGTTGTTGACTTACTGGACGTACAGTACTGCGAGTCTTGGAAGTAGAAGAAGAAGAGGATGATCAAAATAAGTTGGTTGCCGAGATAGGAGTGAAGGGATACATTACTCTACTAGACTGACAGAATGCTTTGTTTTTACACTTCTGTGCTCCATAACAATCTCGGATAGAGATAGTATTGATAGTAAAGACAACTAGCCCCTTTCTCTCGGGATTTACTCTCTTTTTTCCGCTATTATCGTGTACTTAGCGCCAAGTTTGTTCTCATTAACGTCAGAAGAAAGGAGAAGAATCATTTTTTCTGAACCTTCGCCGTCTGCTAACAAGATTCACCTTATTAGAAAATAACGAAAGCGAAATCCGTGAACTTACCAAGTGGCTTTTCATGTGTTGCGACATACAAGTGGTAAAATTACAATGAGGACATACGTGAACTGTCTTCTGTCCTTTCGTACCTCCTCCTGAAAAAAAGATGAATAGGAGAGAAGCAGAGAAAATACGCTAGAGCAAACAAAAAATGATATTTGACAATTACAAAATTTAGGAACGCAGTAAACAAAATGAAATGGAGGAAAATGAAGGAAAACTCACTTTTACCCAATGTATTTGTGATTTCTGTAATTGATATTGGTTCGCAGAGCTCTTCGGGGTCGGGACTGGGCGTGGGGTCTGACGGAGGTGTTGACCTGGGCGACGGGGTGGACGACTGAATTCCATCTCCCCACTCGATTGTCTGAAAAACGTTGATCTCAATGTTTCTAATGAATTTTATCCCTCTGGAGGCATGTCTGGAAGGAAAGACCTGTTACAACGTCACTTCTAGCTGAGAGAATCTCTGTTCCTTGTTCTACCTCCAGCATTAATTAGGCAAACAACAAGGCATTATGACGCAACCTTTCATTTTCCTCTCCGTTCTCATTCTCACTTCAGGAAGAAGGTTTGCATAAATGACGTACCTGTGAATTGGACATTCCTCCACTCGACGATCGACTGTGCTCTGTTTCGTGTTTCTCTGTAAAAAAAACGAGTTCTTTTCTGCCAATGGAAATCGAGTCGTTTAAAAGCAAACGGTTAATGGGATACCCGCTACAAATCCGAATTTTTACGGGTTTGATGTAAAAAAGACGGACAAAGAATTAAGGAAAAAGAGAGGAAGAGACGAATGTTTCGAAATGAATTGACATTCGTCTATCTCCGAACAGGTTGCTTACCAATATGTCCTTGAAACTCGGAAAATATAGTAGTCGTAAATCCGCATTCTGTGCAAGCGTTCAATTCATCCATTGTTGAGATCACTGAAATGATAAGGAATTGCAAAAACCGAAACTTAATGCGATGAAACCTCAAAAACACGAAAGAAAAACGTGAGGAAAAGACAAAAAAATGTTGGAATACGAGGGGAACATGCACAAAAAACGAGGTAATCAGTGAGATACGTGTTTACGGATGGGTAAAGATAAGAAAGGAAGTGTATAGGAAATGGTAAAAGGGGCGGATATATATCGGAAAATGAGAAAAGTTAGATTGTGAAAAAAATATTTATTAGCCACAGCCGAACAAGAAAAAAACGCGGAGGAGGAGTCAGATCCGTAGCAAGGTGATAATCATTTAGCCAAGGAATATAATCATTCAGCTGGCGGAATTTCGAGCCCCGGAGCAACATAATTATGGGCTTACGCCTCTGGATACGAGTGAGACGAGAGGGAGAAGAAGCCAAAACAAAATGGAGTTATGGATGAATGCCTATTTTCCCATTGAGATAGTGGTTGCTGTGGAAGTGTTTGACTTACTGAGCCTGGTCCACGGTTTTGAGAGCAGCAGCTAGTGACCCCTTCCCTACTTGTTTGTCGATCGGCGGCCGAAGGAGGGCCGAGATACGGTTTCCGGGTTTGGCCAAACAACTCGAATGGCCTCTACTCCATAAGCTGCTGCTTCTCCGGATTTGACTTACACTCATCGAGCTGCGGACTACTGTGTGCTTACCATATTGGCAAGGTGTGCACAGGAAGAAGAAGAAGAAGAGGAAAAATGTGAAGAGGTTCGGATCGGTTACGGTTGGTTCTCCTCTATGTGTCTTCCTCAGACCAGTTCATTTGAAAATCCAAAGGCCACCATGTAAGGATGAGAAAAAATTTATGGATCGATTATCTCATCCAGACATGTTGTGTAAAATAGAGGAAACACCAAAACATAGGATATTACACAATCGATTCATCATAGATGTATATGAAACACGAATCAGATAGCTACGGTAGTTCTAGATTTGTATTAAAAAACAAGGAATCGTCAAAGTAGTAAAAAGGAAGGAAATGCAAAAACTGGGCCTTCAGCTCTTCCTACATAGAAAGAAAAACACGTATGTGCGATCTACCACTCATGGGCTAATAGTGAATTGCGTATCTAAGGATTAATGTCAATTATACGCAACCAGTTTAAGTTCGAGAATAAGAATATGGGCATATGGTGCAAACAGGTAATTGAGAGGAGGGCTGAAGAGTTGTGTGAGGCAAGCATGTTGTATTGTTGCGTAGTGTTATAATGAGAAAAAAACGACAGGTTGTCTCAGGAAAAGAGGGGGGACTTCGTCGATGGGGGTTGGACCAGAGGAGGAGCAGACTGTCTGGGGGTGGGATGATGAAAAAAAAGGGAAGGACGAGTAGAGGAGAGGATTTTGGAAAAGTGAAAGAAGAAGCAGGAATTACTGTAGAACTAAAAGTGCAACAAACGCTGGTCTGGAGTGATACGACTACACCTGGGGGTGGCAGATGGGCGGAAAAACGACTTTACGCGGATGGCAATGAAAAAAATGAGATTGAGGGATCGCGGGGGGTGACGGTTTCTGAATGGCATTTACAAGAAGAGGGATGAGAGATAGTGCGGGTGTCGCTAGGGTGCCAAACAAGCTTTTTTAGGAATACGATAGAAAAAAGTGGGGGTAGAAGACGAAGAAGAAGAAAAAGCGATATAGAAACTGTCGATGGCAGCGCGGTAGTGGCGGTGGCGTCGGCAACGGGCATCATCGCCTATCTGCCGGGCGCAGAAAGATGTAAAGAAAAAATCGAGCTGCGTCGCACATCATCAGAAGACGCAGCTACCCTCGCTATCCTACCCCCACACACACCGTTTAGTTCGGAAGAAAAACGGCAACACAGAGAGAGTGAATAAAAAAATTGAAAGGAGAGGAAGAAGGAAGATACCTGGGGGAGGCGGAGGCTGCCGTTGCGGGTGGCCTACGGGTCGGGCAAGGTTAAAGTGAAGACGACAGGATCTTTTCAGACCATACTAGCTGTAGCAGCAGCAGAAACAGCCGAAACAGAGAGACTTCCTTTCCTCACTTTGCCTTTTTTCCTTACGATGAAGAAAAAAACCCGGTTTTTTGCGGCAGTGAGAAGAGCGTCTGGAACATAGTAATGACCTTCCAAAAAGATAAGGCATGTGGAATTACAATTGGATGAACATTTGGGAAAACGTCAAAAAAAGGAGAAGGAAAAAAAAGCGGGAGGGGAAAGGGAGAACAAGTGATTCCGTCGATCTCGTGGTTTCCGAAACAGTCAAAAAAGTTTGTGTACATCATCATCCCTGTATCATCTGTTCTTCTTTAGGAGAGGATGTAACAAAATTAGGCAACATGGATGTTGGAAAGGTGTTAGTAAGAGTGTTCATGTTGGCATAGCGTCCTTCCCTCCAGGGTTTTCTATCACATCCATGTGTATCTGTGAAAGATCCTTCTCATCAAACAACTCTATAAGGCAAATAGGAGAAGACAGAGAAGGTAAAATGGTTTTCAAACCATTCAGGAAGAGAACAAAATAGCATCACTTGATGATGATAAATTGGGATGACAAGTTAGTTATCAAACCGGTATGGCGTTTTGATTATCCCTAACTAATTTCAACGAATTTTGATGAAACTTCGGAAAACATCTCATCGATATCAATAGGCGGAGTCACTCTTCGAGAGGTGTGACTGATTGAACGCGTTGTTCAGAACTTGATAAGATGTTCAAACGATTTTCGGATTGTTCCTTCAATCATTGATGACAGAGAAAAGTGCACAGTTGTGTAGCACAGGAAGATGATGTTTCGATAACTTTGACCTTGGACTTGAAACAGGAGAAAATAGAATAGACTTTCTTTTTTTTTACCTATCCTTCGGAAGATAACCAAAAAACAGGAATTGGAATTTCGGCCACTTTAGGAAGCGAGTTTCCTCACTTTATCAAGGTTCTTCCAACTGCCTTCCTGTGAACCTCGTTTTCAAAACTGAGTCATGTTGGACAAATTTTTTAATATTTTGAATCGGAAAGAAGCTCTTGGAGCAATAGCCAGCAGAAGAAATGAGAAAAAATAGGAACAGAGATTCTGACCCAAGTTTTCACACCTCCAAATGAAAGGGACTGTGAAATTTTAAACCTTTGAAACATGATATCACTCAAGAATCAAGGAAAAGTATCCTGGAAAAATCATATCCTGAAGAACAAGTGAAAAAATCCTGATCGAATTTAGCGCCGACGGAAATTAAAAAAAGCAAAGAGCCGACAGATTTGATTAGTCCGTAAAAGCACAAACTCTTTCTCGAACTCATTCTGCAACAATCCAGAAAAAATATTTCAGTCTCTCTGACAAATTTTTTTTTGATTGATAAGAAAAACACATACCGACTTTGTATATGTTTTGGTGGATAACTAACTGAAGCAAAAAAAAAACTTTTTAGGATAACACAAGACTCCCTCTCTCTCTCTCATGGAATATTTGTATACAGAGATGAAAGATAACGGTCGAATGAGCATCATGGAAAAAAAGCTCATTAGCGACTGGGAAAAAACAGGAGGAGGTATCTCGAATTCGACGAATCTTTTTCAAGGTGGGCAATGAGTTGTCGTCGACCACAGTAGGCGGTGGTGGGGGAAGAGCAGAGAAAGTAGAACGTAGATGTATTCCTATTTCTTTTTCTTCTTTTACAAATATTAGTGGCTAAAATTCTTTGAAGATACCGAACGTGAATCACGGAACATGAAGAAGATGATTCTGGAGTTTTGTATACCTTAAGAGGTGGCTACCGACAGATGGCGCCAACATCAAAGGCACCCTCGAAACATTGGAACAAGGGTTAAGTAAATTCGTAATTTCTTGTTGACAACGTACTTATAACGAAAAGTACGTAGCTTCTAATCATCCAATCTTGTTCCGGAAGAAAGACTACAAATCATAAACATTGAGTTTGATTTCTCACACCTACTGAAGCATTCATCCAGAGACAGTAGGTATGGCTCATCATCAATTTTTATGATTCATCCCAACAGAATATGACTTTTCCAAGACTTACTTTTTTGAAGAATGTACAAGTGTGGCGTCGTGCCAGACACAATTAGGGAGGTCCAAATTCAAAGAAGAGTGGGCGCGAAGGAGCTGCCTACAATAACATCACATGTTGTTGGGAATCGGACTGTTTGCCAAGCAGGCGAGCGGGGCTATAATTGGGAAAAAGAGAGAGGAAAAAGGATTTTTGAGGAGACAAAACACAATCTGGACTTGAATGAGGATCTATACGAAGTAAAGTGGGATTCACATCGAGGAACATGATCGTGTACCGTAATCCGTAGACGGTTATGGCTGGCCGAACAATCCGTGCCACAGGCAGGACGACATGGAGAAGACCGCCGTACAAGTCTCAAACACTACTTGTGCAGTTTGCGGTATGAGCGAGGGATTTTGAGGATTATCCGTCCTGTAGTGCGTCTCCTTCCACTCGCTCACGTTTGGAAGAGAGACACTTAACAATCGGTCCGAATCCGAAATCCGACTGGAAACTGTTCGGCATACCAGTTATCCGAATCCGGCGGATTTTTGATGGTGAAAACGAAACCCCCTCTCTTTGTTTCAGTTTTCGTGTAAGCGTTCAAATATTGGTTTCTGTGATAGATGGGATACGGTATTCAGTAATTTTTTAACAAAACAAGATAAAGCACAAAAAAAAGTTGGTTGGCACAAAAAATTGAGGTAGCAGCTGAGGAAAAAAAAGTCGCAATGGAGACTTAGAAACAAATTGGGTGGGATAGCACATCTGCCACCAACATGATCAAAGTCCCACCAAATCGTTGAGACAGGTACGTTACGATCCCAGGGTAGAATTACGTTGCTCTCGCAGAAATTCCAGTAAAGCTAATTAGTCTCTGGATCAAACAATGACACTAATCCATGGAGATTAGTATTGTTATTGTACTGTCAATAATCCACAGAACAACAGTGACAGGTAAATTCAGAAGATGCCCTCTGGGAAGGAAACACCAAGGCACAACGACAATGCTCTCCTCGGAATGAAAATAATGAAGGGATGAGAGGCGGAGACGAAGAACCAGAAACTGAAAAAGCTTGAGGTTTACCAAAATGACGAATCACCAGCTGCCACAAAAAGGGTCAACCTTTTTTATGCTCAAATTTTTATCGTTTAGAAAAATGGGTCGAGGTGACGACGTGGAGTGTACTTTTAGAGTGATGGTTGTATAAAAATTTACGATCGACGAGTGAAAGATTAGCTGAAGACGGGGTGTTCTTGAAAAATTAGATGTTTGAAAGCGGGAAATGAGAAATTGGATAGTACGGAACGGAAATGCCAGAGAAAAAAATTAAGAGGATTTTGAATTCTGGAGAGCTTTGGAACTTCTTTTCTTTGATTTTCGAAAATTATTTAACATGCATTTAACATAAATACATAGATGAATCAATCGAAAATTTGAAATATCTGCTCTTTTATAAGATACTAACTCATATTTGAGGAAAAAACATTCTACTTTCGGCGGTCGGCCTATAAATTCTTGTCGAAGTTGTGAGCGGTTTGGCTTTTCAATTGGATTGGCGAGGTTCTGCTCGGAACTTGACCAAAAACGGCTGCCGAAAGAAATACATTATCCTGGTATACAAAAATCGGACACGTGGACGAGAAAACCTGGTGGCTGGAGCCACGACCGAACTAACGTAGTTAGCAGATGTTTTTTTGTTCACATTTTTTGTTCGTTTTCCGGCAAATTCTTAGATTTCGAAACTTTAATAATCCTACTTTTTTGGAGGTTTTCAGCGCGTAAACTGTCGAAAAGCAATAGTATTTGAGAATTGAGAAAAGTACCGCGAATGTAAGGTTTCAGAAGCTTTCGTTACAGGAACCATTGGGCACACCCAAAAGAATTGCTTTCCAAAGCTTCAAATTTTTGTACCAGAATAATACTCGCTCGGAACCTTATCATATATAGTCGGAGTTTTATCAGTTTCAGTAGCGGTCTTACCTGACTAAAGCCCGACCAGAATTAGCCGGCAATGACCGAGATATTTGCAAATTTCCGGATAAAATGAAAAAATTCTGATTTTAGAACATATTGTGCTTGACAAGAAATTTGAGATAAGAAGACTTATGAATTCGTGGAGAAATCATGAAACCTGAAAGATTTTGAAATACACAAAGGAACATTTTCAGTATTAGAGGACTTCACAGAGTTTCGAATTTCCCCATCATTAACCAATTAGTTTGAAATTTTCAAACGTTGGTGGAAAATAATTAAATTGAACTACTTGAAAGCAGTTCCTAAAATATAGAATTTTGAAAAATAATTTATAAACGAAATTTTGATGAAATAGCCGATTGATAGTGCTTTAAACGAATGTGGTTTGACCCAAAAGATTGAAGTGAAAAAGTGAATTTCCAGAAAGTTAATTTTTTCCGACATTGCTGCCTGGAAACATTTCGTTGGTGATTCAGGATTCTCATTTTTTCTATATTCTCAGCTAACTAGAAAAATTTCATTTTGAAAATTAGTCCCCATTTTTTAGAGAATCGTATAATTTTTGGTAAGTTCCAGACCGGACAACTATTCCAGTTTTTCAAATTTTTGGTTCGAAGATAATTCTGTTGCGTCCAGAAAAAAAAAACAAAATTAATAATTCCCTTTCTTATTTCGTTGCCGATTTTTTAAAAGTTTTTCACTTTGATTTGATAATAATTTGTTTGAAAAAATTCGGTTCTCAACGCTTAATTTATACTTCTTATCAATCATATCATTTTCCCTTCTTCTTTCTCTCGCAATTTTTTTTGGTCGGCACTTGTTCCGCTGTCAAACTAACTGGTATCGATTGGTTTTGGTTTTTGAAACTAAGATTCTTCCATTCCCCAAAATTTCATCAGCCGCCCATGTTTCCCCCAACAACTGTCCTTTTTCTTGTGCCTCCTTATTTTTCTGAGGGGTACGGTACGCAATTGTCGTCAACTTGCGCGCATTGTCCGCAGCGCGCGCTTTCACTTCCCGGCAAGATTTCTTCTCTGTTCCGAACGAATTCACTTTCATTTTGTTTCATTTTTGAATGTGGTTCTCTCATTTTTCTCTCAATTTTTCTCTCAACTTTTTTCTTATTTTATTTTAATTTTTCAGGGAAATTTCACCTGTGAGAAATGGAGGAGGCTGATGAGTTTATCAAGGAGGCTTGCGGACATCTTGAGTGGTATGTTGCCTATTTTCAATTTTTGGGGGAAATCTTTATAATTTCAGTTCCTTTGCCTATAATGATGAAATCGAGTTCAGCACACCTCAGATTTTTGAGTTTCTAGTCAGGTGTATTTGGAAAATAGATGCCAAGAGTAAGACAGTCATCCCATCATATGTTTATCCCAACGTTATCACCGCGCGTCTTCATCTCGGCAATACGATCTCTACTTATTTGCAAGTAATTCGGAAACCCCGTCGATACAATTCTAGAAACTTCTCTTCTCCTAATCTTTCTCATTTCAGAAATTTCACATTCGTGGGGACACCGCCCTGCACACAGTATTGTACGGCAATATCAATAATCTACGCAGTGCATTCATTGAACTGATAAGAAAATTGCCCGTCGACTCATCGGATGGCGCCTCTCAAGGTAAACACTGATCCTCTTAGAATCGCATTGCAATAAGAACGTGCGAGTTTCAGATCAGGGTCAGCAGTTCCTGGGGGCCGTCTTTGATAATTTGGAATCGCAACCAGAATGGGTTCCTGCATATTGTAGAGGATTGAACGAGACACAGAAGTGGATTCTTCCAAACGTCAGTTTTCAGATAAGCTATGAGAATTCAATGGATGGAAATTTTCAGAATGAGCCGGAGCTTTTACCGCTTTTCAAATCACAAAAGTATCCCGCCGATCCTCGCAAGTGGATTTCTCAATATATCAACTCCAGCGGCGCGGACCACATTCCAACTTCAAAACCTTCGAAGCCTGCACTTCCACCAAAACCAGTTTTCGGTGGAGAACAGATACAACAAGATAGCATTGAAGGTCAGACTTTTTTGTCTGAAGAAACTGATGAGAATGTCCATCTCCAGTCGATCTTCGACCAAAAACTGGATGAGTACAAAGAGGTGAGGTGCACTTCTGACGAGGACAAAAGACGAGATCTTATCTTTTCAGTTGCAAAGAAAACGGTTCAATGTTGAGGATGGGATCAGATCTCTACAGAAGAAGCTCTCGGATATTGATCCTGAACTCATCGAGGCTATTGATAATCCAGATGTCTATGTCGAGACGCTTGTGGTGGGCTGAATGATGTTTGGGATTTTGTAGAATTTCGAATTTTTAGGAGAAGATTCTGAAGTTGAATAAACAGGTGGAAGATGACACAGAGCTGCTGGAGAACAGAAATCAGGAAGCTGCCAAGAAGAAGTTAGCCAGAGCCGCTGAGTTGAAGAAAATGGTTTGTTAAAGATACCAATACTAACACGGAAAGTACTTGAAGTGTCTGCTTGCTTTTTCTTAGATATTGGTGGCAAAAAATGTCCCTTCCCTGGACTAGCACAAAACGGATAATATAAGGTGCTCATAGGCAGGTTGAGCAGAATGGCAAAACTTTTTCTGTTTTTTTCAAAAAAGTGGGGCAAGTCCATTCAGGAAATCATAACTTTGTACAGATCAAAGAATTTTACTATGATAGGAAATGTGCGAATGGTCCGATGGTGTGAAATCAAAAAACACCGATTTTTGAAAAAAGTATTTGGGAGACCATGTCTATTCGATTTCTTCCATGTCATAATGCACAACTATCATTCCAAATATATAGCTCACCTTTCATTTAAGAGAGATTTTTGAAATAATAAACTTTTTTCAGCTTCACTCATGGTATTTTTTGAACTCATTTTTCCGGAAACAATAGAAAAGCTCTGAGAATGAAAGTTTAAGTTAATTCAGTTTTTTTTTGATGGAAAATGATCGAATTGTGATCAAAAAGTCAAAAATTTTGAAAAAAAATTTTACATGTTAAAAGTGAGCATGTATAGGGGTACATGAGTGAAGCTGAAAAAAGTTTATTTTTTCAAAAATCTCTCTTAAATTAAAAAGTGCTATATATCTGAAATTCAAGTTGTGCATTATGACATGAATGGAATCGAATAGACATGGTCTCCCAAATACGTTTTTTCGAAAATCGTCATTTTTTGATTTCACACCATCGGACCATTCGCACATTTCCTATCATAGTAAAATTCTTTGCAAAGATAGACAATATTTGTAATTAAGTTTTTTGTAGCCTCAAACCCGTTCTACAAAATGCAGTTTAGTTTATTATTTTATCTTTGATCTGTACAAAGTTATGATTTTCTGAATGGACTTGACCCACTTTTTTAAAAAACCTAGAAAAAGTTTTGCCGTTCTGCTCAACCTGCCTATGGGCACTTTATATTATTCGTTTTGTGCTAGTCCAAGGAACGGACATTTTTTGCCACCAATATCTAAGAACAAGCAAGCAGACATTTCGGGTACTTCCCGTGTAAGGATTTCTGTGATTCTCTGAAATCTGAAAAATTACCTTAAAGGCTTCTGATTCCAATTTTTCCAAATAAGAATAGATGTGATCTCTTATCAAATTTCAGGGTGTTCATAGTGAAGAATTGAAAAGAGTTGCTGAGATGCAGTCTGCTTTGGAAGGCATTGATGAGCGTATTGAGGATAATATAGCTATGGCTGAAAAGCTTGTGAGTTTGCTTTTCCGCATTATTCATCACTGACCAAATTTTTCCAGAAGGAAAGAGTTGCAAGAATCGATGAGAATGCTTGGCGGAAGATCTATGATTTTGAGAAGAGGAGCAAGGATTTGGATGAGATGGTTCGTAAGCAGGAGGATGAGATGTTCAAAATGCAGGAGGAAAGAGCAACACTTCGTAAGCAGGAAGAACGTGACAATGAGACTGTTAACAGAGCGTTTGCTATCATCTACAATATTCTGCTCCAGGTCAGAACTTTCTTGAAAATCTCTTACAACTTTTAAAATCATTTTAGCATTGCGACCATTATCGTGGACGTTTGGCAATGGAGTCATTCACCAGAATTCACCTCTACAGCATGGAAATTCTGGAGATGTTGAGGAACAATGGCACAATGAAGCAAATTGTTTTGCTGTTACAGTCTGAGGTATCGAATCAGTTTTAGTATTTAAAAAAAGATTATATTTCTAGATTGATATTGAAGAGCAGAAGCAGTACCAGAAGCAATTCGAGTTGCTAACTCAGGATTTCCAAGAGATGAGCAATTTGAATGAGGAGCTCTTCTCTCAAATCAGACTCCAGAATCCAGACTTTAAAATGCCATTGGCTGAATAACTCACGCCTAATGCTCCAACACCTGCACCGCCTCTCAAAAATCACCATTTTCTCACCAGTTACCATCCAATTCATTTAACCACTTATAGTTTTCTTCCGTATGATTAATCACATCTTTCTTATTTTTCTTTTTTTTTTGAAGTTGTCATTCAATTCTTTTTTGTTTTGTCATAACTTTGGATTGGCACAACCTTATGCTGTGATTGCTCTACACGGTCCGTCTAAGAAGCATATTTTTGTCCCTCTCACTGCTCATGCTGTCATTTGCCACCCCCGTTAAATCAATATTCGTCCCGCTATTTTTTAGTGTTGATTATCATGATTCCTTTTTTCAGAGTTAATGTTCTTTTCTTTTTTCATGATTTTTGTCTTAATTGTTGACTATAGAATTTTGTTTTTCTGCCCCGTAAACTCTGATATCAACGCAATAAATAGTTTCGAGAAGTTTTTGAATGAACCGAAAAAGCAAAAAAATATTCAGCGTCTTATCTAATAAGTAGGGTAGCATATTGACGTCATTTTTTTTGAATTCTTAAACTGTTTTTGGGCGTATCTCTCCGATTGTGCGAACGGAAGTGATCTCATGATCGGTGTTACCAGAAGAAATGTTTGATTAGAAACACTGAATTTGAAAGATTCAGTTTTTTTTTTCGAATTACAGCAATAAGAACCATCCAAACAGATATTTCATTTTTCCTTATTTACCAAGTGTTTCAGCTTGTAACGTGTATTAAAATTACCCATTCAATAGAAAAGTTCCTCTAATAGATGGTAACCTCTGATGGAAAAAACTTTATTCAAAATAAATTCTTCAAAATCAACAATTTCCGTGTAAACTCAACATTTTCGGTGTAATGTTCCTGAGCATTTCCGTTTCCTAAAAAACTGTTGAGACACATTTTGCACAAAAGTTGCACAAACAATTTAGAGAATTTTGCACAAAAAATTTAGAGAAATTGATAAATTTCTATGAATTTTAAACGAGAATTTGCCGCATTTTTCGATTAAAATTTTCTACAAAAAATTGCCGGTAAGATGGAAGAACCCCTGTAATAGAAGTTACCTTAAAACATGGCTCTTCTAAGACAAATTTCACTTGTTGATTACTACTGTTCCATGATATTACTTTGAAAATACAGTAGCCAAAAAACGGTTAGCTCGAAATTGTCAGTTTCAGACCAAATCAAATCAAAAACTGTCCTAATCAAAAACTGAAAAGCTATAAAAACGGCTCTTCTCCTCCATCAGAAAAGAGCATTTCCCTGCAATTTGCGATAAGAGTGTTGGTTTATGACTGGACCGCTAGCGAGTATTAACTGGCAATATCATTTCAAAATGCCTTTTTCAGGGCGTGCCGTTTTTATACTTTTGGAGTTGAGTGTCATCGACTAAATTGATAAATTCTTTACACCGTTCTTACTTCAGTTTACCTTTCTTTTTTGAGTTTTTTCGACTTGCTCAATTTTTTCTTTGTTATTGCCTTTTGTTTGATTATATGGAATTTTGATTTTCACACACCAGTTGTCACAAATTT